GTAGAGAAAGCCCGTGGGCCAGCGCTTGCATCTCCACGCGCGTGGGGCGCCGAAGGCGGGCTTCCGCGAATCCCTGGCATCTTGGCGGGGGGCCGGCGGCACGAATGGCGGGCCTCGGCTAGGCTGCGGAGCGACTCCCAGCCCAACGGGAAAGCAAACTCCTTGCAGCTCACCCAAGCCTGGAATATAAGGCATGACAAAGATCCTCGAGGGTATCTGTTGCTTCTGATAAGTACTCTTTTTCTGGACACCGCTTAAATCCCAGAGAGAGGAAGCACATCTAAACAGCAAGAGGAAGTTGTGTAGAAGGAATTCTTCACGTTTAGAATAGAGCTTTCCCTCATTCCCCGTGAATAGTTAAAGGAAAAGGGGTAGGGTGCAGCCTGCGGAAGTGTGAAGAGCTCTGGTCATGGAGTCAGAGGACCTTCATCCAGGTCAGAGTCCCAGCAAGTCATTCCACTCCATGAGACTGAAGTCTCCGCAGTTGTAAGATGAGGATAGGCTTGATGGCTTTAGCATCCTGTGGTTATTTAAGCCAGAGACATCACGAATGCTTCACTTTTCGCCTTCCACACATAGCCCCTCTTTATGGGAACCGGGTCACTGAGATCTCTAATAGAAGCTTCCTTGGGGATGTCAGATGGATCACTGCACTTGTCATCCTGCCTAGTGTTAACGAGTTTACTTTTATTTATTAACCATCGGTGCTTACTAGCCAATAAAATCCACAAAGTGATGTGGGCTACATATAAAAACTGACGTGTTAACTGAAGTTCTCTAGGTAGGATTGTGGAGTTTTCCTTATTTTCATTAATCCCGCATTATCTGATATTTTTATAATAAAAGAAAAACTTTATTTTACACCCACAAAAAACAAACAGCCTCCTTTATCCTTCTTAGTGGAGAACCTTATTATTATCCATCCCCAGGCTGCCCATGGACTCTTGTGGCTAGTCTCCCTGGCCTTCATTCCAGTTTATATGTGTCCTCTCTACTTTTCAAATGAGCTTCCCATAAATTTGTAAGTATGTTTCATTGCTCTTTTTCCTATTGGCTTTATGTATCTGGTTTTGTCTCAGAGGCAGTATAGGGTGGTA